CACCATGTGGAGGAGTCTGTTTGATGGCGCTGGAACCTTCCTTGGGGGGCAAGGCCACAGCCAGCTGTGGTGCCTTCTCCAGAAAGATGCTGTGATGGCTAATCCTGCGTGTCAACTTGACTGGATCTGGGATTAACTGAAATGAAAGAGATCTTGATTGGATTATCTGAAGCTGGAAGACACACCCTAAATGTGGGTGCTACCTTCTGATGGCAGCCTGTAAAAAGGCCAAGGCGTAGGAGAACGCCAGGCTTCTTGCTGCTTGCCTTCTCTCTTGTTGGTGAGTTCATATTGCTGCTGTAGACTGAAGACTAGCTGATCTTTGGGAATTTATCAGACCTTCAGTACCAGATTGGGACCACTGAGACATCCAGCCTTGTGGACTGAGCGACTACGGATTCTCAGCCTCTCCAGTGTGGTGCAGCCATTGTTGGACTACTCGGACTCTATCCTGTGAGCTAAGCTGATAAATCTCTATACATATATATTCATTCTACCAGTTCTGTTTCTTTGGAGAACACTGATGAATATAGATGCTGAAGAAACATTCCTTTCTTTCACTCTGATCAATTGCTAATATTCCCCAGGGGCCACAGGAAACTGGAAGTTAGAAGTCAAGGGACCCTCTTGAGACAGTCTATGAGGATTAGTTCTGAGGGGCACTGAGAGGGGCACAGACCAGTAAGAAGCTTGGAAAGGGGCATCTGGAGATTTAAATGGAAAATAGAGATCCAAATGGAAAAGAGCTGGCATAATTAGCAGCTCACGCCTGTGCCCAGAGCTTCTATTCTACAGTTTGTCCCAGGCCCCATCGCTTTCTGCCATGCAGCGTTGGTTTCAATGAGGAATGCCCCCACAGGCTCCAAATATTTCAACACTTTGTCACCAGTTGGTGTCACTGTGTTTTGGAGGTTTAAGAGGTGTGGCCTTGCTGGAAGAAGTCACTGAGCACAGGCTTTGAGAGCTCATGGCCTCATTCTCACTTCCAGCAGCTCTCTCTGTGTTTCCTGTGCTCGCTTGAAGATGTGGGGGACTCAGCTTTCTGCTCTGCCTCCTGTTTTGCCTTCCCAGCCAGGATAGACTTATCCCTCTGGAACCAAAAACCCAATAGACTCTTCCTACCATAAGTTGACTCGGTCATGATGTTTTATCACAGCAACAGAAAAGTAACTAATAGACATGCCCATACCAAAAGTTGAGTATCAAGCTACCATTTTATAATCATAAGCAGGGTAGTATCTTTAGAGGAGAAAATCACTAATTTACCAATGGATCTACCAATGAATGATAGAAAACCAATTTTTTTTCAAGTAAACAAAAGAAAACATATGTAGGGGAAATGATACTTTGTGTTTAATATGTAAACAGAATATACTTTTATTTTATTTAGAAAGTTTTTTATACCCTGCCTGCTTCACTCATGAGTTACTTGGTGTCGCCCAAGTTCTCTTAGGGTCCCTTGCTCCTGATGCAGATAGACAAACCACAGAACACATCTTTATCTGAATTCTGCATAGTTTATACCTTTTGGGGAGGGAGAAATTTACAAAGAAATGAACACCTGACACCTAGCATCCAGCTCTGCGTGGCTTGGCCTGCCATTCCAGATCACTTTTGCCCATAGTCTGCCTCATCTTGCATCCCCACATGCCCACTCACCCCACAGAGTTCTGTAAGGGGTCCATGGGGTCCTCTTGAGGTCTCTTGGCACCTCACAGGGTCCAGGGCAGGCTGCCTCGCCTGCTCCCTGTTCTCTGCTTCCTGGAATGGCGCCAAATCCTCTTCCTTTACTTCCAATCTCCCATCAGGCTAGGCTCCACCCTTCTTCCTGGGGTACCCTGCACTTGCCCATGGCTGGTCAGAGGAAGTCAGGGAGGAACAAATCATTTTTGGGCTACAGTTGGTGACTCTTCCCTTGACAGACTTTGAATTTTGTGTTGGAAAATTATCTTTCCAAGAGTCAGTGTAAAATTGTTTAAGGGGATGATTCCATAATTTAGAAAGTGTATTGTTTTAATTTTTAACACTAAGTGGGTATTTCATATTTTATAAATAAAAGATTTTGAAATTGGAAAAATTCAGAATCTTGTTTAAAGGTTCAAAATTTAGCTGGTACTCTCAAACAAGAGTCTGGGCTACCAGAACCCTTGCAAGAAAGGACTTGTTGCTGCTGAAGGAAAGTGTCTGCAGGTAGCCATCTCTCTGTTGCTTCGGGGCCTGCCACAGCTGCAGTCATCTTTAACAAAGTCATGCCTTTCTGGGAGTGTGTGTGTGTGTGTGTGTGTGTGTGTGTGTAGGAGAGGGACTCACATATGGTGATAAGCAGAAGGGTTCCCCTGAAAAGGCCCACCACTTTATCTGAAGGGAGATAAGAGGTGAAGCATTTACTCAGAAGCCTCGTCTGGTTGGCTGAAGCTTTGCCAGGCCTCTGTCACAGTTCAGCCTTTTCCTTTCTTCAACCTGGCTTCCTGCACTTCACAGATATTGATCCCTAGTAGATAAGCTGTACTCCATACTCTGTTCCAGCATCTGCTTCCAGAAAGTCCACCACTGGGATCAATTTGATCATCTCAGTGACTCTCAAGTCATCAGTGACCTATGTTTTGATGAATTTAATGGGCATGGCATAGCCACCGATTCACTGAAGTTCTCAGGACATTTGAAATGGTAATTAAGAAAAACAGTGGCAGCCCATAGGATTAACATGTTCTTATAAACAAATCATTACTTTTACATGACCAGAGATGTTATTAAAGCTTCAAATACCATTTTATACAATCATAAAAGCAAATAAGACATGAGTTCTTGTTTTCTGGGAGTTCTATTTAATAATGTTTCATTGAACAAAAATAATGAGCAATTGCTATGGCTGAAAGGTGCATGGTGGAGTAATAGAGAGGCCCTGGGGCAGATGTGGAGGATGCATAATTGACTTAAAAGGCAGAGGAAGAGCTCAGCTTAGAGTCTTATGAGCTTGATGTATGTATGTTACTTTTCTCAGTGCTATGGGAGGGGGGCAACTGACAAAAGAAACTTGAGGAAGGAAGAATTTATTTTAGTTCACAGTTTGAGGGGATACAGTCCACTACAATGGGAAAGGCATGAAATAGATGCTCAGTTATGTCCAAAGTCAGGAAGGAGAGAGAGAGAGAGAGAGAGAGAGAGAGAGAGAGAGAGAGCGAGAGAGAGAGAGAGAAGGAGAGAGAGAGAGAGAGGGAGAGAGAGAGAGAGAGAGAGAGGGAGAAGGAGAGAGAGAGGGACAGGGAGAGAGACTGGTGCTCAGTTTGCTTTCTCCTTACTCAGTCTGGCATTTAAACTTTTCTGAAAACATCTTCATAGAAATACCTAAGGTGTTTCTCCTATTCTAGGTGATTCTAAATCCTGCCAAGCTGACAATGAAGATTAACTATCACAAGGTGCTTTTGGGATGTCATGTAGAAATGACTTTAAGGTGATAGTAGCTGAAACCAAGTTGGAGTAAGCTGAAGACTGAGTGTATCTTGAGAATACAAGAAAGGATGAATAGGATGGAGGATTCCCAACCTGGCCTCAAACTCATATTTAGTTACTTCAAAAACAAGTTCCAGGGGCTGGAGAGATTGCCCAGCAGTTAAGAACACTTGCAGAAGACTTGGATTCTGTTCCCAGCACTCACATGGTGGCTAACAACCATCTGTAACTCCAGTTTCATACATGCAAACAATATACTCATACACATAAAATAAAAATAATAAAATATTTTAAAGATGGGTTCCAAAATTACTTCCCCAGATTCTGATTCAGTTTATTCCAGGGCAAAGATAAATAATACACGTGCGCGCGCAGGGTGCCTGCGCATGCACACACACACACACACACACACACACACAAACACACACACACGTATGTATCTTTCAAGCTGGAATGGACTTAGTTTGGATCCTCTGGCAAGCAGGCACCAATAGGAAGTGAAAATGCAAGAATTCGTTTATATTTGTTTATATAAACAGCTGTGAAGAGAGAACGAAGGAATGTGGAGGAATCACGAATCACGTCACTGCAATGACTGCTCCAGTGAAGGCAGGCAGCAGGATGGTTGGAAGAGCTTTCCAAGTGCTGTGTTAGGTGAGGAGGTTTAGCAAGGCTATGAGAGAGACCTCAACCAGATTTGCTCTCTGAGCACTCTGTATTTTGCCTTCTACCCCTGTCATCCTCAGTCACTGAGTAGAACAGCCTGTAAGGAAGCCTGGTCTCCCCACAAACATGAGGATGATTATTCAGAACATAGTAGCTGAAGCCTTTGGGTCAGTAAATTCCCTGTAGTTGGGGGTCTTTGAGGCACGTTATAACAGCTGCTGCATGAACTTCATTTTTAAGATAACGAGATGAGAAAAGGAATGTTGGAATGGGCTGTAGGTGGAGAAGTGTTTGTGTTCAAGGTAAGATTTCATATCTTCTTACAGATGAGAAATATTTTAGTATATTTGTCAATCTACAGAGGAGACTACTCACAACATGAAAAGTTGAAAATAAAGAAGGAGAAGGAAGAGAAAGAAGAAAGGAGGGAGGGAGGGGGACAGAGAGTGAGAGGGACAGAGAAAGAAGGAGTCAGGAGGAGGAAGAGGAGGAGGATGAGGGAGTAAGAATAATGAGAATGAATGGATTATATAGGGAAAAGCCTGGTGAGAAGTTCAGAGGAAATGGGATCCCTACTTGTGGCTTTGAATTTGAGGTGTGGTGTCTTACTCTCTGAATAGTGTCTGGACATGGCTTAAGTTTGAGGGTGTCCTGTTGTGGGAGGTTGAAGAGAATTACACTTAGTTATTTCAATTCTCAGACAAAATAGAGACCAAGTATAAGGAGACAGTGGTGGAGAGTTTGGTCGTGAATAGGAGACTGAATGAAACAAAGAGGATGATGCAGAGAAAGACTCTTCTGAAGATATGGGATCAAGTTAAGGGAGAAAACAGCTGATGGCCTCAATGATTTTATGAAATAGGGGGCAAGGTTGTTTGCTGAAAGGATATTTTATTGATGGTTCTTCTCACTTGACAAAATTCCACACACAAAAATCACATTTACTATATTAAAATTAATATACTTCAAACACATTAAAATAATTATTACATAAATCTTTCATAGATGTATGTCCATTTCTTCAAATATAAATCACAGCTGAATATTATCTTGCTCTAATTTGGAGTTTTAGAAACTGACATTTGCATGGAATTTTAACTGTTCTTAATCAGGGGAAAATTACTGAGAATGCAGTCAGGGCATGATTTATATTTCCTATAAAATTTAACAAACAAGAGCCTCTTTTGAGCCATATAATATTACCATTTTATCTAGTATTAAAAGAAGTTCATCACAAGGATACATGCTGGATAATACCATCAAAAAAACCAGCTATCAAAGTATGTCTTAATTGGAGAGAATCCTACATATTTTCTAATCTAGGAGATTCAGAGCCCCATATCCTATAAACTGAGCAGAAGTTGGTGATATTTCAAAATTTAAAGCACTTAATAGAAATTCCAATTCTAGCTCTTTTGAAGGCTTTGAGTTATTTTACAGTGTTTTCAATGTGTGTGTGTGTGTGTGTGTGTGTGTGTGTGTGTGTACATGTGGAATTCAGAGGACAATATGGGCTCTTGTCCCTCAGGTGCTGTCTACTTTCCTTGAGACAGTCTCTCATTGGTGTAGAGCTCACCAACTAGGATGAACATGTTGGCCAGTGAGCTCCAGGGATCCCCTGTCTCTGCTCCCCAGTTCTAGGATTGCAAGCACTGGCCACCACATGTGACATTTTAACTTGGGTTTTAGTGATTGAAGTCAGGTTTTCATGCTTGTGAGGCAAGCACTTTACCAACTGAGCTATCATTCCAGCCCTTACAATTTTTGACTTTTTCAAAAATTCAGTGGGGTCACTCTTCAGAAACTCCAATGGATCTTTACATTATATATAAGCAGTACATTATTATTATTTAATCAATGAGTTTAAAAATTAGAAAAAGAGCTTCTGAAACAGGCATTTGGAATAGGGGAGAATAATAAAAGGTGGAAATAATTGGTAGGGGAAAACTTGGAAAAACCTAAACTTAATCTTGTAATTTACAGACAGGAAGACTGCATGGGTAATAAAGGATGTCAGGGTCACATCAGGGTCAGCAATAGAAGAGTCAGCATCAGGATTTATTAATTTCAAAAAATTGTCCAGTCTTCTCTCTTCTTGGATGCTAGGATGTTCTGTTTTGGATCATGGCGCTTAGTGTTTTCAGCATTCAAGAGCCAGTGCTTCCTGGATGGTGTGTGTGGTGAGAAGCAGGTCTCAAGGGGGAGCATTCCTGGCCAAGTGCTAGGATTTACTGCTTTGTGCTCCTTCTGCTGAAACTTTCTAGTAAAGTGGTTATAAACATTATCAAGTTCTGCAGAAGTAATGGACAAACTAAAGAACCTTCCAAAGTGTCTTCATAGTAGTTACTATAAAAAGTAAGCAAGTTTCAAGGTTGTTTCTTGAAGTCTTCACATTGTAGAGTAGTCAGTCCTCTGTGTCTTCTCTACGGTGGTATTTAAACAGAGTACGGAATTCAACTGGGAGTGTCTGAATCCACAAAAATAAGATTTCTTCTAGACTCTTTTACAGTAAGGTAATCTTAAGACATGCACACCGAATGCAAATAACTAACATATGATCCCACAGTTCATAAAGCACAACCAATTTAGTACAAAAGTTTTGCTGCTGCTACAGTTTTTCAAAAACTTCTATCCACCAGCAAGAGGAGACAGAGCTGCCTTTTCCATGCAGACAATTTGAACAGAGAGAATAAAGGGAAGCTCAAGCTATAGGCTGCCTTCCTGCGGAAAATCCTCTGTTCTTTTAAAAATGAGTCATTTCTTTGGATGCCTTTCATTGTTTGTGCTTCTTTTTAAAGGGGATGTGGTAGAGGAGATTTTTCTGTTGATGGTCTAATCACAGCCAAAGTGGGATTTTTAAGCCAGGTGTGGCTCTTGCCAGAATCACAGCACTTGGGAAGCTGAGTCAGGAAGACAGCTGTGAGTGTGAGACAAGCCCGGCTAGAGTGAGGACCCCCCCCAAAAAGAAACAAGATATTTAGTAATTTTTACATCTCACTAACAGCCTTCTGAGATATTAAGTAGAGATCATTTTCTAAGCTTAAAATTATTAAACTTTGTAAAGATAATCAAATTTCATAACAAAAATTGATAAATCATTTTGTGCATTCAATTTTTTCTATGATACCCAATAACATGTCAATTAAAATCCATAGTAGTCCCTAATAAGCAGCAGAATGGACACAGTGGGGTGCTAGTCGTTGTCATAGATGCAACCTGAAAGAAAAAGAATACTTACATTCATTCATTCATTTGATGTATGCACATGTCCGTGTGTTCACGTGTGTGTAGCTGCACTATTTTTTGTGTGGATTCTAGCAATTAAACTCAGGTCCTCATGCTTGCCAGGCAAGTGCTTGACCTACCGATACATCTCCTGGTCCCCCTATTTTTTAAAAAAATATTTATGCGAATGAGTGCATTGCCTGTACATGTGTAAGTGCACCCATGTCATGCAATGCCCACAGAGGTCAGAAGAGGGCGTTGGATTTCCTTGGAACTGGAGTTAGGGATGGTTGTGAACTTCCATGTGGGTGCTAAGGAATCAAACCCAGGTCCTCTGCAAGAGCAATCAGTGCTTTTAACTGCTGAGCCATCTCTCTAGCCCCTCCCCACCCCCGTTTCCCTATTTTGTTTATTGAGACAGGTCCTCTTATAGTCCAGGTTGCCCTTAAACTCCTACGTACCTGAGCAGAATCTTAAAGTCCTGATCCTCCTGCCTCTCCATACCAAGTGCTGGCTCTGCACCACCACATCTGGCCTTGCACATTTAAGTGCAGTTATATAAAGCGTATTTTCTCTATATGCTTATAAGTTGGAAATCTGGGTAAATCACACTCTCCAGACTTATCATGAAAAGAAAACTGGCTTACTTTATGAAAAACTAGCTAAATGAAAGGTCGTATATTTAACTTTTATCGATAACTCAATTTTAATAAAATTTCTGGTCAGATTTATCCTTTTTCCAATGAGACTGAACACAATTTCATCTGGTATTACATTACATTTGGCAGTGAGATTAATTCAGCTTCAGAAAGTATCATAAGCTTAAAAGACTAAAGGGTGGGAACTGGGAGAGGACTGAGTCAGGAAAACATTTGCCTTACAAGCACAGGACCTGAGTTCCAGCCTAGAACTGATGCTAAAAAAAAAAAAAAAAAAAGCTGGGTCTAGTGGTGTATGTCTGTCATCTCTGTCTCTGCACTAGGCAGGTACAAACAAACAGATCCCAGGGGTTGGGCAAGTTTTAGGCCAAGGAGAGACTGACCCACCCCCCACTCCCATGCTAGTCACTAACATGATAAGAACTGTGCACATGTTTTGATTAATGTTTTAAATAATCATTTAAAAATGTGATACTTACACTACTGTTATTAGATATGAAATAGGTATCTATTGATCAAAGATTTATTAGCCTCACCTTTTAAAATTTACTAATTTCATATTTGTTACATTTCAGTATTGTCTCATTCAGGATTTACTAATTTCATATTTTAGAAGTTGCAGAAATTATCTATTGTTATCTTCTTGGGTGTTATGCCTGTTTAAGATACTAATATCATTACCTTTAAAATAAGTACCTATTTATTGACTGAGAGTACATTTTCATCTGGATAAAAGAAATTCTTAAGATTCATGTTACAAAATTCACCAAATTCTCTCTCTCTTCTCTCTCTCTTTCTCTCTATGTTTTGAGATAGTGCCAATGTAGCCTACTTATCATGTATCCAAGGCTAGCCCAAGCTTCTGATATTCCTGCCTCTGCCTTCCAGATGCCAGGATCACAGGCCTGTATCACCATGCCCATCTTATTTCTCATTCTGAGAAGATTAAAGAAATCTATTTTTCTTAATTTCCATCTTTGTATGAAAATGATTTCCCCCTCATGAGTACCAGATCATTATCTTGCTTAACATTTTCAAGAAACTCAAATTTTGATCAGATTGGATGGCTCTAATTAATCCAACAAACTGTTTGCAGTGTTTGTATAAACAGTGAGTTCACTGTTACTATCCTCTGTGGTGGGTGCTGTATGAGACTTACCATCAGCGATATCATCATAGATCTCTCCATCACTGTAAATGGAGAAAACATTTTTTGATTTTATAGGAAATACCTTCCCAACAATAATATATGAAAATGGCAATAATATAATTGTCACCTATTCATAAGTTTGTAGAAGTGAAAAGTCATGTTACGTATGTTACAATCATCTCTACATCTTTCACTGGTTATATGTACTCCCAGTTCAATCCACAGACAGAAACATGCTCTCATGCCTTGAGAAAACAGACTCTGCCCTTCTTATCTTTGAACCTTATCGTGGGCACAGAGTAGCTGAGCTCCCTGAGAACTATCTGCTGAACTCAACAAACTCAGTGACCATGGCACAATCCTCCTCTGAGGCCTCAATTCAAGACTGTAATGAGTTTTAACAGGCATTAGTACTAGATTCATGACTCTACTTGAGTTTCAAATGTTTTAAATTTCAAATGAATGAAGTTGAATATTTGGCATAGAAAATGGTTATATTTTCATGTGTTTCTAGTTAAAATATCAAGTTTAAAAAGTATTAATTACAGAATAAATCACCAAATATGGTTATTATGGATATTTTATTATTTATCATTAAGGCTGTATCCACAGCAGCAGTTTGGGCTAGTGTTATACATTTTTAGGTTTTGCTTGGTCCTGAATCTTTGTGAAATTTTCTATTAACAAACACGGAGATCCTCTTATGTATTGGGAGACTTAAATATGAATAAGACACAGGCTTTAAGAACTGTATAGTCAAATACATGATCTATAAATAAAATAAGCTATAATATAAACATAGCCCTGAAATGTAGGATACATTTTCAAATTTCAGAGATGTGAAGTGGCTTTGTCACATAGACCAGCCTCACTTTGGTTCCTGCCCTATCTCTGGGCTTTACCATAGCAGCAGCAGGCCCCTTACTCTGCCAGCTGCAGCAGATGCTACAAGCTCCCTATGTCTTCTGTTTGGATCCTTTCTCTGAGCTCAAGGGATGGTTTGACTAATAGAAATCAGATGCAGATGCGGAAAATTTAGTCCATAAACATTTATTAAGGATTTGCTTTAGTGGGTGCTAAACCAATAGCTACTTAGAGCACTGTCTCCATTTTTCTCTAACCCATCTTTCAATAACCACTGGTATGTATTTGCACAACATTCTTTGCGTAAAATTTGTGTCTTTCATAGAACAAGGCCTTTTGGAAGCCCCATGATGACCACTGTAATAAATACGTGGCGGGAAGACAAAGATGCTGGGGTTGCTTTTCTTTCAACTCTTTACCAGTTTTCTGACAGAGCTCTTCACATTCATTTTTCCTATTCAGATGGGAGTCAAGTTGTCCAAGGTAAACAGTTTGTAGATTCTCCTTAATTCTTTCACTATGCCAAATTCTACAAATATTTGTATTGCTGTAAGACCCAACATGAAAATGAAGTTAATTTCTTGCTCTGGGTTTCTTAGAGTACAATCTTAAAAAGTATTTTGGAGGAGTTCAGGGGCTTACCAGTACCAGACTGTGACAGACTGTGATAAGGTCTTATTCATAAGAATACAAGAGTCATTGACTTATCTTTTTTTTCCCCTGGCATGCTTCCAACAACCTACCAGCGTGAGTGTAGAAAAATCTTCAGTTAGGGGAAAGTATAGGCTGTTAACTGGCAGTATTAATACCACTATTTGGCCCTAATTAATCCAGTTCAACCACCACATTAATTAGTGAGTGAAATTAAAAAGATGAGTGGAAAGGCTTGTGGCTTTGCCCTCTGAGTCTTCTGAGTGGAGAGCTCAGTGAACATACAAGACTATAAGCAGTGATACCGTGGGTGCACAGGACTTACTCCCGTACCAGACTGGCCCTTTATGGAAAACTCAAGTTTTGTTCTTGGTACTGACAACATGTTGTTTTCAATTTATTTATGATAATCCAATACATTGCATTATTTGAATGATACTAGCAACCTTTCTTTAAGAAAATATAAGATTCTCTTAGGAGACACAGTAATAGAAGAAAATTGGCTTACTTGTCCATCAGGTAGCTCCGAAGGACATAACCATCTGTGAAGGAAAAAGGGATAGATTTTAATTACAGATCTTGTTTTGAAAAATAGTTATTTAGTTTCATAAATTGGCACACAGAAGAATAATTATTATAAGATAATAGATTGAATAATTATATCTATATAGAACGTGCTTATAGGGTACTTTGATCATATCTATCACCCCATTATCCACACTGAATCCCCTTCCACTTGGTCCTGTCCTATTTTGTCCGTCACTAATTCCCTTCTTATTCTTTTGACTTCTTTTCTCTTCCTATTAAGTTTTTTTTTTTTTTTAAGTTAGTGTACAAGGTAATGAGTTTCATTGTGGCATTTTAATACATGTCATTACACTTTTTTTCTAAGTCATTCCCCTATCTGTCTGCCACCCTGTCCCTCCTGGTCTTCTCTTGCAAGTGGGTTCCCTACCTTCTTCCACATACTTCCCCCTTTTGTTTTCATGTCACATGTATTCCATCACCCCAACCCCTTAAGATGGCTTCTTCCCCACTGGGCTTTCTGATTCTGAATTATTTTGCTGAATATAATGATTTCTAGTTTTACCTATTTTCTTGTAAATGTCATGATTTCATGGGCGTGTGCATAGTGCATGTGCATGTGTGCATGTAAATGCCACAATATGTGTTTGGAAATCAGACGACTTGCAGAAATGAGTTCTCTCCCTCACCATGTGAGTTCTGGGAATCAAACTCAGGTTTTTGGGTTTGCTGACAAATGGCCTTACACACTGAGCCCATTTTGATTTTTATTACTTCTTTCCTTTTACTAATTTGGGGATTGATTTGTACTTGTATTCTTTAAAGTCATATTTTAAAATTCATTTAAATTTTATTCTTTGATAATTTCATACATACATACATACATACATACATACATTGAAGATTGGTCCTTTTCACCCCCCTATTACCCTGTGCAAAAAAAAAAAATCAACCAACTAATCAAATGGATAAATCACGCTGATACCCTTCTTCCCAACAAGTCCCTCTTCTATTTACATGTCTTCTTTTGGTGAGTGACCCACTGAGCTTAAATAGGGTTGCCTCACTGAGCATTGGTGGGAGGTCATTTACGGGAGCATGGGCAACTTATCAGTGGTTACACTACTGAAGAAAGTGACACACCATTAACTATCAATAGGTCCTAAGGGAGGTCTGAGGCCTCATGATCCCTTCCCCTTTTCATGATGATGTGACTGGCCCAATCTTGAATAGGAAACCACAGCTGCTGTGAGTTCCTGAGTGAAGGTTTTGCCCTTCCTTCCTTCCTTCCTTCCTTCCTTCCTTCCTTCCTTCCTTCCTTCCTTCCTTCCTTCCTTCCTTCCTCCCTTCCTCCCTCCCTCCCTTCCTTCCTTCCTTCTTTCCTGCCTTCCTGCCTTCCTTCTTCCTCCATTCCCTCCTTCTTTTTTATTTTTTATTTTTTTGTCTTTTTGAGACAATGTCTTCCTGTAGCCCCACCTGGTCTGGAACTCGCTATGGAGACCAGGCTGGCCTCCATCTCACAGAGATCTGCCTTCTTCTGCCTCCCAAGTGCTGGGATTGAAGGCATGTACCATTATGCCAGACTTTTTTTTTTTCCACAAAGCTTTGAGGTACACCACTTAATATAGCTTCTAAACAATTTCTCTCATTGAATCAATCTACTCATTTGGTCTACTGAGTTTTTATTTAAGATAGGGTTTCATGTAGCCCAAGCTGGCTTCAAACTCACTATGTAGCTGAGGTTGACCTTGAATTCCTGATACTCTTGTTGCAGTTTCCCAAGTGCTGGGTACAGGCATGAGCTATCATGCCAGATAACTGAGATAAAATTTTGGTTGTATACAAAAGCAAATGTGTTAAAAGAGTATTAAAAGGAAGACTACAAGTAGTTTATTTCATATGAAAAGATTGTTTTTAAGTATACATAATAATTTAATAATTTTTAAAGAAGATAGTCTCAAATCTAAGAAATTAGATTATTTCTGTGTGTGTCTCAAGCAAAACAAAACAAACAAACAAACAACAAACAGACACCTCTGCAGGTTAAAAGTTTGTAGAACAAATCACAAGGCTTTTTTGTGTTGTTTGTTCTGAGTTAGAAACCTGTTCTACCACCAGGCTAACTTTGGACTCCTGGGATAATCAAACCTCCTGCCTCAGTCTCCTGAGTGCTAAGCATATAGTCATGCACTGCCAGATACCATTCAACCTGGGTTTTTTGGTCATGATTCCAACAATTAAACTAAGTATTTACTTGGGGGCTAAGGTAAAATTTGACAGCTTTCTTCAGGCAATAATAACCACAGACTTCTATTCATCAGGGTCTCTATTTTCATTTTGGATTTTCATCTATAAGAAATTATGGCTAGGCATGCTGGTGCCCACCTGTAATCCCAGCCTTCTGGAAGCTGAAGTAGGAGGAGCTTAAATTTAAGATTAATCTGGATTATATAGTGAGGTACTGTATCAAAAAAAACCCTACCCCCACCCACACATCAATCAACCAAACACACACACAGCCAACTAACCAGCCAGCCAAACAAAAATACAATAGTAAATGTCTCCATGATATACACATAGTTATAGCAATAATTAAGAAACGATCACTTATATGAACTGAAGCCTTTAACATTGAACTCAACTTCATTGTGAGATGGAATCTAGAATTCTATAAAGTTTCTGAGGTAAAATAAGAAGACAGAAAATCAAACTAATATATAAAAACTTGTAAGCTGTCAATAGCTTATAAGCTGTGAATTTCTAACAGTAAATATATTTCAGTTTTTAAAAAGGAAGGTAATGGGAAGTGAAGTTCGATAAAGAAAATGTAACTGCCATTTGTAGAGATCCGAGGTGTTTATTTCCTATGCTTTTGAGGTAATTTACCTTTTAATTAAATTGCTTTTAATTTAAAACCCAATTATGCTAAAATTTTGAAGGCATAGTTAAACTACCATTAGAAGCTTACAGTAAAGCGGTCCTTTATATGACCAAAGTTGATGACTTGTGATACACAGCTTAATTACCTCACTTCATGAATTAATTATAAAAGATATATTCTCTGAGAGCATCATCAATGATTGTGAATATTATTTATGAAAAGTATATTAATAATAAGGAAATAGGGTATGGGGTGTGACTGTGCCACTTTATTTTAGTTCCCTGATAATGTGATAATTTAGGGCTCACTAGCTATAAAATCACATATGCTGTTTATAGGATTACTGACGTTTAATATAGCATAGGCTTAGCTGTCTAGTGACTTCAAGATCTCTGCTAGAACTTCATTCTATTAAAAGCATGATTCATGATAGTGTCAAAACAAGTGATTACCATGAATTTTTATATAATCTTTCCACTATTGTTCCTAGAAATTCTTCTTTGCAGTAAGAAGATATTTTTGCTGTAAAGGCTATGTAAAGGCTATGCATTTTTGCTGTAAAGGCTATGTAAAGGCCAGCATGTAAAGGCTATGTTACCAGTATTAGATGTTAACAGGAAAGAATAAAAAACACAAAATAAAATCAGAACAAAACAGCAGTTATGTACAATGTGAATGGCTGCCATGTTTAGTCGTACAGTGTGAGTGCTGATATAACAAAGATTCTCACGTGTGATATGGAATCATTATTTAAAAGGCTCACATTCACAGAGCAGAATACAGAAGCATGAAACAAATATGTGGTGGGGTAGGGCTGGCTAGGAAAGTGACCCCCATCCCATATGTGTCAGTTACTGTTGACCCAAAATGTTTGCTGGCTACAGTGCAGACATGCCTCAAGACTCACCTTTCAAAGGGATATTGTGAATATAAAATTACCAAGGAAATAAACAATAACCTCGGAAAAAGCAGAAATTATCTTTATTTTGCATTTAACTTTTTTTCCTTAATCAAATAACTATGCATTACTTATTACTTCATTTGCTGTATTTTTAGAAAATACAGTTAAGTTTGCTGAATTTGGCCTCATGTAGTTTAAAAGATAAAATCATGGGGGCTGGAGAGATGTCTCAGTGGTTAAGAGTACTGACTGCTCTTCCAGAGGACCTAGAATTGGTTCTCAGTACTGACATGGTGGCTAACAACCATCCCTAACTAATCTGTGAGCATTGCATGACATGGATGCAGGCAAAACATATAACATAAAATAAAACTAAAACTAAAAATAAAAAATACAATAATGTTCTGTAGACTTACCCAGGCAAATGAACCAATGTCCAACTTGAGGTGAAATGCTCATAATAGAATAAAAAGAAAAGCAGTGTATTGTGTATAATACTGAATATAATTTACCATCTTGAGTTTATCATTAATCATTTCCTTTTCTGTTTTTCCATATTGTTTCAAAGAAGCATTAGAGTGACTTTAAAATAGTCCATAAAAATTAATTTATTTTATTATTACTGTTTCTAAGCTATGTTCTCACTAAGTTGACTAGCTGTCCTTGATCTCCTAGGTTCAAATGCTATTTCTCCTTTAGCCTCCCAAGTATTGGGATTATACGTATGTGCTACCACACCTGGCTGAGTGACTTTTTAAATTTCTGAGTGAAAAATTTTGTTTTTCAGTGAGCATGTGTTCTCTAAAAAAATTTTTAGATTAACTTCAATGAAATGATCAACTGGTTTTGTGATGATGTACAGCTCTTTAAAGTCTCTTTCTTTAACACCCAAGGGAAACAGAGAACACAGTGACCATGGATAATTCCATTCATGTTTCATGCCACACTTTTTGTCGAACGTTTTCCTCCAGTGACAGGAGGTAGGAAAACTCGCAGCTCATGAGCACTGAATTGTGGAACATGTGCAAATATTAGCTTGCAGTTTTAAACATTTTAGGAAAGTGCCAGAAATATCTATTTAAGATGTCAGTGCCTACACAGTTCACACTTCTAGAAGTCAGTGGGTGAGACTTGATTGAATGTAGTTATGTCTGTACAAGTGGATTTTTATTTCCCCTCTCATTGGCAAAGGGATTGTTGTTTATACTTTAGTCTCTTAATTTCTATCGGTGTAAACCTTGGGTTACTTTCTTGTGTTTGATGGAAAAGAATAGAGGGTAAGGAAAACATGAATCACTCTGGGGCTCTTATAGTCATTGGAAGATATAAAAGTCAGAAAGGGAAAGACTTAGAGGCTCCTCAACCATACATAAACTAACCATGCTCCACAGGCTGAGACAGGACTGTCTGATAACCAGTTAAACTGCTTACCACACTGCTCTTTGTGAACATTTACATGTCAGACTTTCATCTGGTTATTGGTCAACAGTTTCCAAAGTGTTCCTTTGAATCTAGCAAGCCCCACTCAAGCTGTGAGGTCTTGAATAATGTGCTGATGATCCATTGCCAAGAACATTTCACTGAAGTTACACTTAAGCTCAGGGTTTAATAAAAGCAGCGAACTGGTGAAACAAACCACTCCACAAGGCAGTGTTGTAGTGTAGCTGGGGAAAGATGAATTGTGATAACCTGGGAGTGGGGAGTGAGGATGCTTCTAATTTAAGATGGTAATCGAATTGTTTTTAAAGAACAATTATGCATTACAGGTCAGATAGCACAGTGGGACGAACCAGTGTAATTTATTCCAGCAATAACAAACATGTACTTTGTGCTTCTGCACATCAATTCTAGAGAGCAAACTGTGGTTGGTTTTCATGATGATGGATCATGAAGGTTTTATATACTAACCTAAAGACTGTGTTTTTAAAAATGTTTGGTTAACACAACAGTGAGTGGTTGGCTGGGAGTAAGGGTAAAGATGACACCATTTGTAAGGCTATTTGTGATTGCCTAGGTGAGGGAGGGTAAATCCTACCTCAACCATTCCAAGTCCTACTGAATGTATGAAGAGAAAGAAGAATGATCAAGGATACAGTCCAAGGAGGGAATAAACAAGGGAGGATGTTTATAAAAATCGAGGAGAGCAGGAAGTTTGAAAAAGTACAATTTAAAATAAATAGACACTATAATAATTCAATTATCATGGGATAATACTCAATCTGAAGGTCAGCAGCAAATACTCGTAGTGTCCCTCTTCACCCCAGTCACTTGAGCACTCATCGGTTGAAATTTCAGCTAACAGTGACTTCTTTTTTTTTCTACTTATGGAGGGCTTTTCTCTGTGAACTTGTTCAACACTCTGAATGACTCTGCACCTGCCCAGGAGTAGGCGTCAACCTTTTGTTCCACCTGTTGAATAAATAGCCAGTTCGTTCTCCATAGATGGGATAGCACTCACAGAACTCCCAGCAGCATTAAAATCAAATTATCCAGGTGGTAGCTGTTTTTGAAAACAAGGCTTTCCTGACTGCCTTCTCTCCACTTGCCTCACTTTTACCCACTGAAGTCACTTTGGAACTAAAGAAGTCCAACTAAAACAAAGCACACCCTTAAGAAAGTCCTTACATAAACCAAAACACCCTACCAGATGTTTAAGTGTTATTTACAGAGCCATCTTTTTTCTATCCTGTTTGAGATAAGAACCCCATAACCATCTAAGAACTGTAGCTATCAGTGAGCTTAGAAATCATCGAAAACATTAGTGAGAAAGAAAATTTACATGAAATTCTTTATTGCACTCTACCACAAGTATGCAGTGTTTCCACTGTCATCTTTAAGCGCGTGTTCTACTTCCACTGTCATCTTTAAGTGCGTGTTCTACTGCTCAGCCATTCTACTCTCAACTGCCATTATCATTTTTAAAAGATGACAAATTCTAAAAGGACAGGAAACCCTCCAATATTCATAATAGTGCATAGAACTATTAATGTTCTAATAGGAAATGATTGTAAATTGTAAAATTAACCCCAAATGCCTACTGCTTTTCCTTACTCTCAACGTCTATTGTTCCAGGAAGACAAAAGTGTCTTTTTTGCATCTCTGCTACTAACTCTGTGTTGATTCCTGCCTGTTGGTACCCCACATGTCTGTTCCATCTACCTCCTTGCTAATCAGTCTATAATCAGTCTATCCCATGGGCCAGCAGCATCAATTATATGCAGAATGCTAGATTCATTTCATCCCTCCTTACTGAATTAAAGTCTGCATTTTTAGCAAGATCTGTATGTGCTTTGAGGCTTGGAGAAAATGCTTTAGATGGGATTTCTTGCTAAGGATAGGAGTCTTCTACCACACCAAAAGCAAGGTGTGTGTGAGGCTTGTACAGCAGATAACAGTGCACATGACAAATACTAGGACAATGAAATAATTTGGAAAGTGGAAAACAGGAAACATTCAGTCTCATCATCCCAACAAGCAAGAATTAACACTGTAACATAGTCTATGTTAGCTTTTTTTCCATTCTTTTCCCTCTCCACCCCCACCTCCATCGCCCATAGAATTTCTCTGTGTAGCTCAGGTTGACTTCAAATACACGATCCTCCTGCTTCAGCTTTCTGAGTGCTGCAATTACAGGTGTGCACCATTGCATCCCCATAGTTCAGTTTCTCTCATTTTCATATTTTTTAACATGGCTATAAAGCTTACCTTATATTAAGTAGCCATATTTAGCCCATTATATCCCAATATATTAACCACAATTGTTGTTATTATAACATTTAAGATATCCAGTTGGTATAATCAACATAACATTTGATCATTAAATTTTTTGAACTTCTTAATAGCTTAGATAACCTTATAATGGAGTTTTTCTGTATTTTTGTTTTTTAAAAATTACATTAGTTAATTTTTAAACTTATGCCTTGTGTGTTTTTATTTATGTATATTTTTATTTATGTGTATTGTGCATTTATATAATAGTTCTAATCAAATTTAGACCCCTTTCCCCATCTGCACCCACTATAGTCACCTCCTACTGGATTTCATGCACTCTGTCATATATGTTAAGGTCTGTTTGGTCAAGCATTTGTACCCATGTCCCTTGGTGCAAATTCATTCACTAGTCAGTCTGTCTAGAATCACTCCCTTTAGGCTTATTCTTAGGGTAGATTTCTAAAAATGCTGGTCTAAATCTTTATTTTTGTCTCAAGTCTTAGTATTACACTGTTCCTGCCGTTTTGTACCCACACTCCATATTTTTCCTTTGAAAAACTAAGTCACACCTCCTCCACGGCAACGGTCTTCTATCCCTGAGTTACCTTCCTCCCGTTATGTCTTATAGTTTGGCTATGAACTATCCACAGTAGTCTCCTGTCTTTCAATAGGTTGTCCCCAGCTGGTGGAGCTGTTTTGGGAGGTTGCATCATCTTTGGAAGGTGGAGCCTTGCTGGAGGAAGTGGGACTGGGGTAAGGAGTGGGCCTTATACATTATACCGGATTCTGGCTGAGCTGTTGTTTCTTGATTTGCAGAGATGTGAACAAGATACCTCATGGCTCCCGTTGCCACAGCAACTGGCTATTCCCACTGCCACCCCTTCCCCACCATGAGGGATTGTATGCCATTAAACGAAAAGCCCAAACAAATCCTTCTTCCTTTAAATTGTTTCTGAGACAGGTACTCTATCACAACGAGGAAGTACCTAATACAAAATGGAACCCAGAGTCCATGTTTTCGTGAAGATTAACCATGGTGCTATGGGGCAGGCAGCCAGGTTGGCTATCCAATTCTAATACAGAGCAAAATAATTTTGAATTACTCTTCTCTAAATTTTAAATAAGCTTCCTTTTAAAGCTTGGCAAAAATATTTCCATCTGTGTGTTTAGTATCTGATAACGTTAATGAGAATAAGGAGTGTTGTGGAATTATTTGCAACAGTATATTGCATAAGGTTCATCGGAAAGTGAAACGAAAGCAAGTGAAACAGAAAAATTATAAATTCTAGCTGTGATACAGTCTATGTAATTTCACATCCAGGCCGGAACAAAAGCCACATAGGACATCAGCACAGTGCTTCTCACACACGAATAACTGGGAACAAACTAAAGAAGATAGTAACGAGCTGGAGAGAGAGTTCAGCGGTTAGGAGCACTGACTGCTCTTTCAGAGAACCCGGGTATGGATCCCAGCACCCACATGGAGGCTGACAACATCCATAACTCCAGTTCCAGGGGATCCAACGCCCTCTTCTGGGCGTTACAGGACATGGGTGCACTTACACACATGCAGGCAATACATGCATACATGTGAAATAAAAACAATAAATAAGATTTTAAAAATTGGAAAAAAAAAAAAAAAAAAAAAAAGAATCACAGATTCCTTCTGATTCCCAGAGCTCATTACTCAGCAAGTCGGGGGTGGGACCAGGCAACTGCAATTTAAATACAGACTCAGGGGTTTTCTCATGTGGGTGGTCAGTAAGACCACGTTTTGAGAAGCATTAATTTAGCATTAGCTCAGATAAGCCATGTATAAATAAAAGGTAAAAAATGAAAAGACATTAAAATAAAAGTCACTGATTTCAGCATAGCAAAATCTCCAGTTTCTACAGCTCACAGAGCACACACCAAAATGAATTAGTAAGGACAAAGTAACCACTAAAACTCATTGGTTAAACTCTGCAGTGCCATCCACAGTCAACAGCAACTTACATTTCCCTTCTTCATTCCTGCAGAGAACTTTGGTGTCGTCTGTGTTTTGAATAACTTCAAGCGATTCACCAGGTTTTATCTGTAGATCTCTAGCTCCCCACTTTTTAGAAGTTAAGGAGGGTGTAACTTTGGTTGAATATAGAACTCTAATTTCACCATCATACTGGAAAGATAAATACGATTCAAATTATCGTTTTGTATTTAGTAATTCATTTATCAACAAATTTATTAATTAAGTTTTTGCTAAATAAATAGTTCAGTGGTTTTAAATAAGTATTTCAACATTAAAGAAAATTAGAATATTCTGGTGAGGAATTGCTCTTGTGATGGTTAGTGATAATTATTAACTTTACTGAACCTAGAATCAGCTGGGAGAATGGGCTCTGGGCATGCCTGTGGGGGATGATTTTGAGTATGTTAGCTGACGTGGGAACACCCATCTTAACTATGGGCAGAACTATTTCTTGGGCAGGAGAGCCTGACTGTATAAAGTGGAGAAAACTGGCTGAGCAGTGGGATGCATGCTTTTGTTTGTCTCTGCTTCTTGACTACAGATGCAATGTGATGCTCCTTTGAGCTCCTGTACCATGACTCCCCATCCATGATGGAATGTAACCTAGAACTGTGAGCCAAAATAAGCCCTTTCTCTTTTAAGTTGCCTTTTTTTGTTTGTTTGTTTTTTAATTTCGTTTTTGAGACAGGGTCTCCCTGTAGCCCTGGCTGTCCTGGAACTCACTATGTAGACCAGGCTGGCCTTGAACTCACAGAGATCCACCTGCCTCTGTCTCCCAAGTGCTGGGATTAAAGGTGTGCATCACCACACCTGGCTTTTTAGTTGCTTTTGTTGGTACTGTATCATAGCATCAGAAAAAGAAAATAAAACAACTGATAACCTCACCAACTTCATGTAACAAAAATTTGTGGATTGCCTTTTTATCAAGGTTCAAAAGGACATCTAAATTTAAAGGGTTATCATAGTATGTTAAGCATCCAGAATTCCTTACTTAATGCTTTTGTAGGAATAAATTTAAATTTAAAACACATTTTGGCACAAAAAGCAGTTTTAATAAAGAACTATAACATTCATTGCCATACTTTAAAAGTTTTTTTCTAAAAAATAAAAGTTTTTATTCATTTTTAAATCTTTTTTCTTTCTTTCTCTTTTCTGACAAGGTTTTCCTATAAACCCGACTGGCCTGGAACTTGCTATGTAGATCAGGCTGCCCTCAATCTCACAGAGATCAGTCTGCCTTTGGGGTTGCTGGGATCAAAGGCATGTGCTACCACCTCCAACCTTAAAAAGTATTTATCATTTTGAAATTTTTGGACTTTTTCATTAGTGCTTTGAACCCTGAATGATATTAAATGTTACATACTTTAAATTTTTTCCTGAGGTCTTTTTCTTCTTTTTCCTGTTTTTTTAGCTTCTTGGGGTCTTTTTCTTCTGTTTTGGCCTTTCCAACATTAATTCCTTGACTGGGGCGACAGACACACATAAAATAACACTTTGCTTAAGAAACATAAAAAGAATAGCTCATACCAGACGCTTAATTCCTAATGTTAAACTTTTGTTCAGTGTTGTTCTAGAAGTCCAGTACCAACCATTATCATTAATGATGGAATTCTAACACCTAGAAGGGATTCATGAGGAATATACAGATGAGTTAAAATGGAAGCGAGAGATTCTAGTTTACTGAACCATAGTAAAATCACTTAAGATAAAATATGGTTTGTATATCAGTGCTTTGACCATCTTAAACCTATATTTGTACCCTCTATATTTTCAAACTCTTTGTAGGTAATTAAATAACAGAACCAATGCCATAAAATGGTTAAAAAAAGAATACATTAAAAACCCAATTTTTATGATTTTAAAAATTTGTCTATATGCTAATATTTTCACATCTAAAATGGAGGCAAGAGACTCAGCCCAGTGGTAGAGTGCTCACCTATTATACTTGAGGCCCTGGACTTGATCTCTAGCGCAAAAATAAATACATAAATAAATGAAGGCAGAGCAGGAGACAGGAAGTGTTGGTTAATGAAACATTTTTAGGTAAAATTAATATTTTAGCTATTATAGGAGAGAACTTTTTAAGAACAATACTTAATAGTCAATCTTTATCTTAATCACTTTATTAAATTATTCATTTGAATGTGAGAGTTCCATTTAGATGACTGGGAAGAGTTGTTAATCTCTGTAGAAAAGAATTAAAATATTTGTGAATATTTGTGAATAGAGAAACATTTTAAACACTGATACAAATTTTCATTTAGATTGTCTAAGAAGTTTTGTTTGCAAGTGACTTACTTAAAATGTATGATTTTATATTTTTGATTTTTAGCATTTAGTTTGTTCCATGTGAAAAGACAGGGCTGTAACTTGCCTTATGTTCTTCATGACCTCTTGCCTTAGTGTTGTCTGGGCAGTGGTGGAATTGCTGGCCCAGATTAGCTCTCTAGGACAATTAGAGCATGCTTGAATACTAAAAAGGTCTCACAGGCTATTTTTTGAAAATAACATATTTAAAAATAGAATACTGTGTCTAAAAACATAAAATTGTTTTAATTTCTGAAAATAAGGATTGGGTAAGAATGCGGTCATATCTGATCAAGTTTAATCAGCTGGAGTTTGTTTTGCTCCAAGGAAAGAGCCAGTGTGTGACTCCAAGTTCCTGGAGAGTCAGCTAATGGAATGTGAGGGTATTCTGAAAGTAACAGCAAACAGAAAAATGCATTAAAAGCTATCAGAGATAGGCATGATGTCCTGGTGCTGAGGAAGATTAAAGCTTGACCATGTTATTCAGGTTAGCTTTTCCTGTCATGGAGAATGAAGAAGAGTGAGACTCCTTTCATCTGGCTTGTTTTGCCCATAGAACCTCATCTTTATATATGGATGGCAGAATATTTTGCCTTCAGGTTCTTTGATCTTGGTACTGTCTCTAGTTCAGTAAAATTAACTTAATGTGGTAAAAAATACATGTTTTAAATCCTCTCAAACATCCTTAAATATGGCTCAGCAGGCACTAGGTGGACCATGTTGCTTTTGCCCTTCATAATAAAGTACATTGTCTTTTAGAAAACTTTTATTTATTATTTCTTTATGTCTAGGTGTGTATTGCCTGCATGTAGGTAAGTGCACCCATGTTGTGCGAAGCCCGGGGAGGACAGAAGAGGCTGTTGGATCCCCTGGAACTGGAGTTACAGACAATTGTTAGCTGCCATGTGGGTTCTGGGGTTCAAACCTGGGTCTTCTGCAAGAACAGCCAGTGTTCTTAACCGCTGAGCCATCTCTCCAGGCCCTAAAGTACATTATCTTTTTATTCATCTCTTTCCTGAGTGTGTTACAGGAGTGTTCTTGCTTTTGCACACAGCTCATCTTCCATATTTATTGGAAAATGAAAAAGTTTCCTGATACATTATTATGTTCTATCTCAGGAGGATTTTCAAAAGCTTTTTATATTAACTGATTTTACAGCTTTTCATATAATTTTAACCTAAAATTAAATTGCAACCTCATATAAGTTGAAGAAAGTTATTCTTCACTTATTAATTTAAAAATAGATTTGCATAAACCCCTTGAGAATTCAATGTTCTGTGAACAACAACAAAAGACACATCTTAAAGTTCTTTTAAACAACAAATTCTGATTTTTTCATAAAGGAACCGTTTGATGGAGGACAGGGAGCAGGAAAGATAAGGGCTGAGATGTAAAAAACAGAAGTAAAAAAGGTTTTTGAAAAGAGTAAAAATAAAAAGAGGAACTAAATCATTGAAATTATTTGTGACAGAATCTCAAATATATGTTCCCAGTAAATGAATGAAATAGTGAATACAAACAGCTGTGTCACTAGCTACCGGGAGAGGTTAATCAGGAGACAAGGGACAGAACAGGTTCTGCGTCATGGGGCAGGGATGGGCACAGTGGCTAATAGGGAGGAGCAAAGGTGGGAGGCTTAGGGTAATTTGCTCATAAACCTAGCAGTGGTTAGGGCCATGATCAGAGATAAGCATAGCTTTAGAAAGGAAGGCAGAGACACCATGACCATACACAGACATGCCAAGCATTGGAATGTTATTCTAGTTCAGTGTTGTTCAGCAATCTCCTTTTCAATACTTCATTGTCACGAAAGCATTTTAATGACCTCATCTCTGCAGATAGAGTGGGAAAATCTGAGGCATCCACATCATCGTAAACTTCTTCTCTCATCTCTAGCAAAAGACAGAATACCAAAGATTAAAATACGGTTAGTTTAAATTTTGATATGAAGAGTAGTGATTTTTTTGCTTACTTTTTTTAACTTAAAAAATTATTGAGAATTTCATGTATGCATATAAGGTGTTTTGATCAAATCCACACCCACTCCCTCCCCTCCAACTCCTCCCATATCTCCCCATCACTTTTTTTTGTTGTTATTGTTCTTTCTGAGACATGGTCTCCTAGTGCCCCCGGCTGCCCTGAAACTCATTAAGTAAACAAAGCGTGCTTAGAACCCACAGAGATTCGCCTGCCTCTGCCTCCCGAGTGCTGGGATTAAAAGCATGCGCTACCACGCCCGGCCCACCATCACTTTTTTTCAGACAACTTCATGTTCTCTCTCTTTCTTTCTTTCTTTCTTTCTTTCTTTCTTTCTTTCTTTCTAAAAAAAAATATTGAGAATTTCATACATGTATATAAGGTGTTTTGATCAAATCCATGCCCCTTTTTTCTACTCTAACATTCCCCCTTCTGAAGTGGTAACCCCAAAATCTTTGGACTGCTTTGTGGACAGTAAGAGAAGATTTCCTGGAGTCTGGATACGTGTCTTCTAGTACTGTCTTCTTCTCAAAGGAATGAGGTTCTTAGCTTCTTAGATGTGTGCATTAAACTTTCAACAAGCAACAAACAAACAAAGAAACAACAAAAATCAGTGAATCTGATTACAGCTATCACTATCTGGAAAGAAAAAAAAAAAAAAAGAAATTCTGGCTAGTACTGTGATTGAATATCCAGAGGTGTGACCAGTGAATGAATGGCAGAACTTCCAAATTGCGGACAAAGAGGTTAACACCAGGCCGCTAACAGGAGGAAGTTACTGGAATCAAGAGTTATGAAATATAGCATACTCTAGTACTCATCCTCTGTTTATGACAGTCTATATTATCTATCATCTATCTATCATCATCTATCTATCATCTATCTATCTATCTATCTATCTATCTATCTATCTATCTATCTATCTATCTATCATCTATCTATCATCTATCTATCATCTTCTAATCTACCACCTGTTTATCTATCATCTATCTATGTCTCTATCATCATCTATCACTATTTAATCATCTATCATCCACCGGCTTCTTTTATTTAATGATTTGTCCTCATTAACTTTTACCCTATAGTGATAAGATTGCATTGACTTCAAAATAATATTTCATTTCTACAAATAATATGCATGAGATACCAGCAGGTGATGAGAGAGTACTGGTGGAGAAGTTGCTCTGACTGGTTTAGTGTCTGTAGCTGTCTGTCTTCCTTTTGGACTGCTTGCTAATAAATTGTAGGCTACACCGAAGGGCATTTTGGAACACAAATCTGACACTATAGGCATATGTGTGTGTGTGTGTGTGTGTGTGTCTGTACATAAATCTGGTGGGGGTTAGGAAAGGGGGCAAATATGGGAGAGAATCTTAATATAATTAAAATATATCATATGAAATTCTCAAAAATTAAATAATAAAAAAAACTTGGGAGGTATGATATCTGCCTGAACCTAGCTGTTCACAGCAAATTGAGCTGAAGAGATGAGTTTAAGATGTTGCGACAATGTCAGGGGATAATTATGACAGGAAGTTTAGATGTCACCTAGTATTGCAAAGAATTGGTTTCCTTTAAAAGAAAAATCTTTCTATAGATGGTTGTGGTGGCACATGCCTATAATCCCAGCCCACAGGAGGCAGGAGCAAGAGAATTTCTGTAATTTCCAACCAGCCTAGGCTATAGAGCGGGCTTGAAGTCACCCAGGGGTCCATAATAAAAAAGTCTGATTCTGAGCATGGTTGCCTGTGCCTTTAATCCCTGCCCCTGGGAGGGAGGCAGAGGCAGGTGGATCTCTGGGAGTTTGAGGCCACCCTGGTTCACATTGTGACTTCCAGGTAGGCTGTGATGAAGGAGACCCTATCAAAAACAAAAGAAAAAATCTGAATTTATATTTCAGTGTGTATTTATATTAATGAATTTCATGCGTTTAAATTTGCTCAGCTATATATAAAATCCATAACAATAGCAGGCATGGTGGTGCATGCCTTTAATCCCAGCACTCTGGAAGCAGAGGCAGGTAGATCTCTTTGAGTTTGAGTCCAGCCTGGTCTATATAGTGAGTGCCAGGCCAGCTGGGCCTACAGGTAGACCCTGTCTCAAAGACAACAACAACAACAACAAAAATCCATAATAATTATTCAAAATATCAAATGAATCTTTGTTTTCCAGAAGTCCAAAAGTCACCATTTGTGATGGTTAATCTCATCCTGACTTCTGGGATTACAGGTTTATGCTACCAGACCTGGTTTTTCTGGTGCTAGGTAGTGGACTCAGTGCTTCTAGCTTAGCCACATCTCTGACTTACCTTGAAAAAAATATTTACAAATTTGAGCAGTTAAACTCTGAAAGCCCTTCAATACTTGTGGAATACAATATTTTATTTTGTTCATAGCAAATAAAAAAATCTTTGAAAGATCAATCTTAGCAGGTATTTTAAAAAGATGATTGAAACTGTACAACGAAGAAACCATTACATTAAAAAGTAAAGAAAGAAGAAATGGAATGAAAGAGTCTGATGGCATGTCACCTACATATTTTAGACATCTTACTGCAAGAGTCCTGTGCAACAGGAATGGACTGAACTGGATGGGGTCATGGCCAAGGCTGCTGTCCATTGCCTCCCACTGAGCTGTAAAGCCACAGTGGTATTTTAAAGCCATCAATCTTTTTTTTTAAAAAAAAAATTTTCTTGTTCTGCTGTTCTATTGTTGGACAGTTGGAATCACTCAAGGTGAAATTACTTGTACAATGCAACATAATTGATTACTTGCAATCAGGACTTAAAGCCAGTACTGTGATGGCATTCAATGCTTCCCACTACCGTATGTGCAAGAAATAAAGATAAAAAATATTTAGTTTTTCTTACATACCCAGTTGTGTAGGAGGAGAAGGGAAACTGAAAAAAAAAAAAGAAGAACACAGTTATAATCAGAGTAACATGATCCTGAAAATTCCATTTTCCTCTATGTGAGGAAGGTGTGAACAGACCAGAAGTGTAAAATGGGTTAATCTGTTGCCCAACATACCTTTCTTATCCTCCATTTTTCCACTAGTTTCTATCCATCAATTTGTAATTTAGCAAGACTAGTTTTTGAACACTAGTGCCGACCACGAAAGTCAAACATGAAGATAGTTTATTTTTGCCCACAGTTGTTGGACCAATGTTTTCAGGTTTACTTTAAGTTTGGTCATATTATGACTCCAGAGTAAATTAAATTGACTCAATATTTTTGGAGTCTTGTGCCATTCAGATCTCTGGTCCAAAATTGTTTATTTGAATTGAGGACTAAAAACACAGGGACAAAATCAGGTGGCTGTAGGAGTTTGTATGTGCACAGACACTGCCAAACTGGAGAGTGGTGGATAAGACAGGAATGTATTCTTAAACTGGAGAGTGAGAGCTTAGTAACAGAGGTGGTCTGAGACCAAGATTAGGTGGTATGTAGCTACAACAGAAAAGAGACTTTTGCTTTTATTATTTTCTCAACTATGATATCTACACAGACACATGTTGACAAACACACGCCTCTGCATTCCTGTGCAGCACAGAAATGACTGGTTAGAGTGTGAGAACATTCACTCAAATGACCCCAGGCCAGAGAAGCAGGTGGTATGAAAAAAGGCAGAAAATAACTTCTTTTCCTTTAACCTCCAATATAGGTTATGATTGAGTAATGTTACTCAATAGATGATTTCTTGTTGTGTTTTCTCAAAATTTATTGTGTACTGTTTATTGACTACAGTTTTAGTGCTTTACAAAAGAATATAAAATTAGGAGTGCTGTATGGAAGCAACATCTTACAAAGATTTCAGTTAAATGTGCTGGATGCAGTAGTAATGTAAAACAGAAAGGCATTTCTGTGCAAGAGAACATGATAAAGATCCTTTAAATTCATATGTATGGAATTTATAATCAATTATAATAAAGGGTTATTTAGGGGCTGATTGGGGAAGAAAAGTTATATCTTAGTTTCTATTTAGACAAACTTGAAATACTAAGAATAAATCTGTATAGAAATATAGTATAATTAAGATAATTTAATACATCACTATTGTGGAACAGTTATAAGGATTTTTAGTACTATATTCAGGGAATAATTCTAAGTTATACCCTACATTTTAGCAAATTAATTTTTACTAGAGAATATGTTGTTTTAGAAGTAGTCAGTATAAAATACCATGTAGCAAAATGCAGCATTGGAATTAGAATAGTCAACTTTTAGATCTGACTGTACAGATAAGAGAGGCTCTACTAAGTGGAGTGTATGCTCATGTATGAATGCATGTGCTTGAGTATGTAAGAGGAAGTGTGTGCACATGGGTATGTGTATGTCTTTATGCAAGTTTGTGAGAAAAGTAAAATGTATCCCTGAACTGCATGACAATTTTGGAATGGTTTTTTTTTTTTTTTTTTTTTTTTTTTTTTTTTGTCTTTTTTGAGACAGGGTCTTCCTGTAGCCCCAGCTGTCCTGGAACTCACTATGTAGACCAGGCTGGCCTCGAACTCACAAAGATCTGCCTGCCTCTGCCTCCAAAGTGCTGGGGTGTTCTTAATTAATGCACAAGTTTAAAATGAGTATAAGTGTAAGATGATTAATGGAAAATAACATCAAAGTGATGTAAGTCTATCAGGATTTGATTATTGGTTATAGAATATTAGTAGCATCCAATTAAATGAATATTAGTGTCGTTATTGTGCACTGAAGGTAGTCAGCTGACTCTTACGATGAACCTTCATTATTGTCTGACTCAGAGACTTTAGGTTTCTCTCGTATACTTTTCTTTCTGTCATCTTTTCCCTTTAACATCTTCAAAATCCCCCAGGACCACGTGTTATTCTTCTCTTCAACCTGTAGCATGGATCTTTGGAGCATCAGGAATTGATCAGAATGTAATAATCATCAGAACATGAAGACACTGTATGGATATTCAGATTTTAAATAATTATACCAGTAAATAAATCATTGTAGTCAATAAGAGGGCACCATTATGATTATAAGTCATGGTGTCTCAATATTGCTGTCACCAGGCTGATCTTTTTTTTCTTATTCTGTGAGATTTATCTTGGCTCTTAAAATATAAAGCTAAGTCAGAATTAAATGTAAAATATCTATTTAGCATTATTTATGATTGAAGTCAAATAATTAATAGATCTTCAATAGTAAAAAAATTATTTTAAAATGGAGCAATTATTATTAACTTGAAAGATTATTTTATAAATTGCTATTGTAAACATAAAGGTATTTACCTTTAAGCTAAAAGGCTAAATATTCAATACCAATTCTTCTACAAAACAACCACAGATAACAAATGGTTGCAATTTACTTGTGTTGCTTATAATCATATTATTTTTTACATACAGTTTTTGAGACAGGATCTCATTCTGTAGCCCAGGCTAGCTTGGAATTTATTATGCAGCTCAGACTGGCCTTGAAGTCCAGGGTTCAAGTGATCCTCCTGCCTTAGCCTCTGGAGTGCTAGACTTATAGGTGCTAGCACCATACCCAGTATAATTATGGTGTAATAATTACAATAGTCATGTAAAAAATAAACTCCAGAGACTGTTATAAAAGTAAATGCTTGATTAATAAATAAATGACTGGAAAATATTTGAGTGAATATCTACAAACATATTAAGTCTTCATTTTTCTCATTTCATTTCTTTTTTCCATAGTTAAAATTATTCTAATCTACCATTTCATGTGATGCAATGATTCTTTTTGATTTATCATTGGCACTAATGAAATGTTTACATCATTTGGGGAATACAATGAAAACAATGTTTTCTACTTTTTATTTTCTTTGGGAAAGAAAACTAAATTTCCACATATACAATACTTTGAAAAAAAGCTGTTCGGGGACCTTTCTTACCCATCATCTGGGTCTTCCTCTTCAATCCCATCATAGATGTCATCATCCGGTGGTGGTGGGAACCCTCCTTTGTTTGGAATAGGAAGAAAAATTGGCACATACAGGTTAGTCTGATTATGATAATAATTTCCCCCTACTCTACTGCTGAAAGCATCCCTCTTTCATATTAACTATTTAAACAGAATACTTTAAAATTTTCCACTTTCACATGGATAGTTCATAAATTAATTACTTTATTCATCACTTTAAAGCATTTTTAGGGCTCAAGCTATAATTTTAAAAATGAGAGATGATAGACACTCTGGAGTTGAGGTTTAAAGGAACTGGTGAACCAGGTATGGTGGCGCATGCCTTAATGCCAGCACTGGGGAGGTGGACGCAGGCAGATCTCTGTGAGATCCAGTTCTACATTGGTCTACACCGTGAATTCCAGACCAGTTGGGGCTACAGAGAGACTCTGTCTCAAATTAATAAAAAAGAAAACAATGAAAGAATTGGCAAGAATTAATATGAGAATGAGTAAAATGGAAAAGGAGCTAGGATTAGATATTTTTTATTAAAAAAGTGAAGTGAGGAGATAGTAAGAAAAATTTAATAGCAGTGGGTAGATATTTGAGGAAGATAGGAGATCGATGAAGAAAAGTGAATGGAATAAAAGGTGAAACTGTGGACACACTAAGAAAGGAAAAGTGACATTTTAATGCATGTATTTCATTTTATTTTTAAATATTTGATTTATTTTTATTCTATGTGTGTGAGTGTATTGCACCTGTGTTCTACAATGCCTGCAGAGGTCAGAAGAGGGAGTCAGATTCCCCTTGAACTGGAGTTACAGATGGGTGTTAGCTGCCATGTGGGTGCTAGGAATTGAACCTGTGTCCTCTGCAAGAGCAGTTAGTGCTCTTAACTGCTGAGTCATTTCTCCAGCCCCTAGTGCATGTATTTTGAGCTGAAAGGCTTTCTTGTTTCATGTGTTAGGTTGCTCTCTTCATGAACGTCATTGTATTACAAATAGTACTGATTACCTTCTATGTGCAGAAAAATGACCTTGAAGTTTAGTTTTTAGAGTAAAAATGTGGACCCAGCAGGGTATTAGTTGTATCATTTGTCTTGTTGCTGGGAAATCAAGAGCTTTTTAGGAGCCATAGGCCAGGCAAGGTGGCCATGTAGGTTATCACTTACACAGGGTCATTTCTGGAAGTGAAGTGTGGGGGTGCTGGTGGTGTTTACTATTATATATGCTCAGACAGCCTCGGAAACCAAGACCAGGCCCACTGGAAGTGGGACACCCTCAGATCCACAGCAAACTTGGAAGAAAGAAGTGACTGGCTCAGAGTTGCTTAGTGACTGGGCTAGATTCTAGGCCACAGATTCCCAGATCAGTGTTCCTTTTCAACATTAAGATCCCTCTGATTCTTTCATTTCTGGATTCTAGATTTTGTAAAAACATGTAAAATCTTATCTGTATGAATGATATGAAAGTAGAAGCAAAACTGTCAAGGGGGAACAAAGACCAAGGCAGAAGTTGGGGGCGGGGAGAAGGAGAGCTAGGGGAATAGGATCAAAGTACAGAATATACCCTTATGAAAACCAGTACCATGTACAATGAAAATACACCAAATAACATTATGTTAACTTCCTTAATGTATAAAAACATTAAAAAATCCCCCTTGCTATTGGCAAACTGAAGTGTTTTGTTATTAACACACTCGAAAAACATATTCAAGGCTTGTAATGATAGAAAGTTTGTGGCTTACCTCCACTTCCACTTTGACTGTGGATAAGAACAAATCAGAAATAAATTAATGTATGAATTATTTAGATTTTGAGAACAGAAGTATAAATATTGAACTGACTATAAAACTTCTATTTAAAAGTTAGGATGCAAAATATGAAGAATAAGAAAAATGTTCCTTATAATAGATACACAATAACAAGTCAATATAACACAATCTATAAATGGCAGCCAAGAATCAAGTGAGCTATAGTGCTACTTAGGATAATCACAGCAATGATACTACTTGTTTTTAACATTTTCCCATGAGACAGTTTTCAATAATTATACATGATTGCATCATTCAATAGATGAACTCTAAAAATAGCCTGAGTATTATTATAGGAATCATGTAGAACAATTATCATTGCATAAAATTCAATGCTTTTAAAACATCTTAGAACCACATTATCTTACTCTTAGTTTAATATCATTCCACTTTTTTTTTAAGGAAAAAAAAAATAGTCTGAAGCTGCCATCTTTGTTGGGGCTCTCTAAGTACCAGTTGCCTTTGTTTCTTGTGTACTTCCCTACCTTTCTAATCTTTTTTCTATTTTAGCTTTGAGTCTCCCTGTGTAATTTGTGTGAGAACAAAGAAAATGTAGACCGTGGGCACTGGAAAAACTTAGGGATCATCCATTTGTTCAGTTCTGTCTTTTTGCAGACCAGTCAGACCTTGAAGAATTCAGCCCCTTTTCTACCGAGCTCCTCCCCCACAACACCCCCTTCTCCTTCTCCATCCCCACTCCTGCTGTTTTGACCTTTTGGTGAGATGCCAGCAAACCAGATGTTTGACATTATTACCATACAGAGTAACTGTATACTGGTACCCAATTTTAACATTCCTGTTACAAGCCAGTGCAAGGAATTGGAGTGTTGCAGCCCTTTGGTCAATGGAGAAATCAAATCATACTCTGCCAATGGAACTTTGTAGAAAAGCATGCTCCAAACCTCATAGTCTACAGGAAATTGGTGTGTATCTTAGTTTTTTTCTTCATAGCTGTGACAAAATACTCTGACCACTACCAACTTGGGGAGGAAAGGGTTTATTTAGCTTACATATCCTGGGTCACAGTTCATCCGGGATCCCAAGGTAGGAACTCAGGGCAGGTGGAGGCAGGAGCTGGAGCACAGGCCACAGAGGAACTCAGCTTACTGGTTAGCTCCCCCCCCCCACTCAGCCTGCTTTCTTATGCAACACAGGCCCACCTGCCCAGGGGTGGCACCACTCACAGTGGGCTGGGCCCTCCCACATCACTCATCAAGAAGATGCCCACAGACATGGCCACAGGTCAGTCCAGTAGAGGCAATTCCCCAATTGAGGCTCCCTCAACCCAGGTGTGTCAAGTTGACACTAAAGCTATCCAGCACAGTGTGTGGGCCACTTCCCTCTGAGCTAGTTGCATTCTGGTTGGCTGCTGCTCCTGCTTAAATACATTTCCTGTTGGAGACTGTCATAACTGACACCTTAGGAACAACTATGTATGACATCCATGTATGACACAGGGACCAGAGCTGCTGCCTGCTTGTTTCATCTGTAGAGTAAATTTCCTCAAACGACCTGTTTGGATTGTGAAATACTCGATGGGTGAAGGTGAGGTAGTAGAAGTATGGAGAGAGAGAACACCCAGAAGGCAGATGGTTTACTCTGAGGAGAGTGAGTGAAGCTTTTGCAGTTTTCTTTTCCTTGGCATTTTCCAGTCATTACAGAAAATGCTTTAGTTGGAAAAATAACTGTCAAGGCCTGTGTTTTTAAGAGATGGTAGTACAGGGCTGTCTCCCGCAAGCTAGGGGAGTCAGGAAAGAGCAGGTAGTGAGGACGCAGGATCGGGAGGAGGGGAGGGACAGTGTCTTCTCTTCTTACTCTTATCTGGGCAAACTGCAGGCAATTAGGATTCTTTGCATCTTTACTGCTCTAAGGACAAAGACTATTTTGTGATGAGAGCTCTGCTAGCAGCAGTTGTAGTTTTAAAAATAAAACATATTGAGGCTGGAGAGATGGCTTATCAGTTAAGAACAGTGGCTGTTCTTGAGGGAGACCCAAGTTGGAGTCCCAGCACCCACATGGTGGCTAACAACCATCAGTAACTCCAGCTCCAGGGGAATCCAATGTTCTCTTCTGACCTCTGCAGGCATTGCACTCATACACACAAAATAAAAATAAATAAGATATTTTTAAAAAAATGTATAAAAGAATTTCTTCCTAAATTTTCTTATGAAATAGGCACAGAAGAGGGAGAGACATTAGTAGATAGGGTGGTACCAAACAATTTAAGATACTGTACACTGAAAGCACACACCACCTCCAACTCCATTCTTCTATTAAATGCAGCATTCTGGGGCTGGAGGGTTGGCTCAGCAGTTAAGAGCACTGACTGCTCCTGCAGAGGACCAGGATTTGATTCCCATCACCCATGTGGCAGCTATGAACTGTCCTTAACTCCAGTTCCAGGGGAATATGAAGCCCTCTTCTGACCTCCACGGCATTGCATGACACAGGTGTACTCACATACATGCAGGCAATACACTCTTACACATACAATAAAAATAATAAATAAAATATTTTAAAAAGTCTTAAATGCAGCATTCTTTTTTTCTTTCCAGGTTCGCTAGCTGGAGCACATTAGAGTTATGGAGTATATGGACTTCATAAAGTAAAAGTAACTGTAGTAATTTTGGTATGTGCCCACCTTTTATGGTTAAATGATTCTTTAGAGACAGTCCTAGCTGAGAAAAAGAAGGTATTGGAGCATGTGGGGATATATGCTCAAAGTGCATTATGTAGTTGTATAAAAATGTTGGTGCTGGGGAGATGGCTCAGTGGGTAGAGTGCTTGCTATGCAAGCGTGAGGATCTGTTGGAATCCCCAGTGCTCATATAAAAGCCAGTCACCCCCCCCCGCCCCCGTTACCTCAGCACTGTGAGGGTGGATCCCTGGGGCTCACTGATAAGACAGCCTAGCCAAAAGAGGGATCTCCAGGTTCAGTGAGAGACCTTGTTTCAAAAAATAAGATGGAGCTGGGCATAGTGGTGCATGCCTTTAATCTCAATACCCAGGAGGCAGAGACAGGTTGATATCTGTAAGTTCAAGGTTAACCTGGTCTACATAGTAAGTTCCAGGCCAGCTGGGGCTACAGGGAATTCCTATCTCAAAAAAAAAAAAAAAAAAAAAAAAAAAAAAAAAAACTCTAACATATAACTGGCTTACACACATACATGCATAGGTAAGTAAGCATATCAGCACACATGTGCATATACCACACAGACACAAAGAAAAGAAAATACGATTATGTAATATAGTGCCATGTACAATAAAAAGATGGAGCAGAACAATTTTAAAAAACACAGGAGCCGGAGAGCTGGCTCAGTGTTTAAGAGCACTGGCTGTTCTTACAGAAAACTCAGGTTTGATTCCCAGCATCCACACGGCAATTATTCCAGTTCCAGAGGATCTGATGCACTCTTCCAGCCTTCGTGAGCATTGCACACATGTGGTGCACTCACATGCATGCAGGGAAATCACTCATATGTATAAAAATAAATAAATAAAAATGTCAAAAATAAAAATAAATACAGAAAGAAAAACAGAATTAAAACATTTATTTTGTATATATATATATATATATTTATTAATGCGAATGGGTTTTTGAAGCTCCCAAAATAAATGCATTAAAATAACAAATAAAAGATAAAAATAAAGCAGGGTATGATGACACATGCCTTTAATGCCAGAACTTGGGAGGTAGAGGCAATCTGATCTTTGTGAGTTTGAGGTTGGCCTGGTCAACATAGTGAGTTCCAGTTCGGCTGGGAGACCCTGTCTCACAAAGACCAAAAAAATAAAATAAAATAAAAAAGTAAAGATAAAAATAAAGTCTATACAATGGCAATACTTTTGACATACTCATGTCCAGAAAATGCTGTAAATTGCAGACTATGAACACCAAGAACTTATCTGACCCCAAAACTGACATTTACTGACTTGTGCTTTCTATTACTAAAGTCAATTTGATATATACTTTAAAAATTGTATGTGTGTGTTTATGTGTATACATGTATGTGAGTGTATGTGGTTGTGTGTGAGCATGCTCATGCCATGGTGCACATGTAGAGGCTAGAGGACAACTCTGAGTGTAGATCTCTACCTTCCACCTTGTTTGACACAGGGTCCCTCTTGTTATTCACTGCTGTGCACGCCAGGCTAGCTGGCCACCAAGCTCCATGCAATTCTCCTGTCTCCATCTCACATCTGCCAGTCGGGACTGCTGGGACTACAGATGCTTGCATTAGTGTCTGCTAAAGCCAATTAATGAATGGCAGAATCCAGTGTATGCAATGTATTCCTTGATATATGTTGCATAATTTCTATTCGTAGTATAGCCATTCAATTTAGAAAGCCAAAATTGCTGGAAAGTAACAAAATATTCAATTCATTATATGAGGCAAAAGATCATAAGACAAAAATTTTAAATATTTTACTTATTTTTTTTATATGTATGAATGTATTACCTGCATGTCTGTAGGTGCACCCATGTCATGCAATGCCTGCAGAGGTCAGAAGGTGTCAGATTCCCCTGGAACTGGAGTTACAGACGGTTGTTAACCACCATGTGCATACTGGGAATTGAACCCAGGTCCTCTGCAAGAGCAGTCAATGCTCTTAACCACTGAGATATCTCTCTCGGCTCGATCATAAGAAATGTTTAATTATTCATATGCTTTATAATAGCATTACTAATCTGTGTGTGTGGTGTATATGTGCATCTGTGTGTGCAGGTACACCCATCGATTTATGCATGTAAAGGCCAGATGTTGACCTCAGGTATCTGCCTTAATTGATCTCCATGTTATTGTTATTACTATTGTTGCTGTTGTTTTTGAGACAGAGTCTCTCACTGAACTTGGAGCTGAATGATTCAACTAGCTTGTCTCCAGACAGAATGTCTTATTTCTGTTCCTCTACCCCAGGAAGGTGTTTCCGTTTTTCTAGGTGGAAACATTATTGTAATGTAGTAAAGTTGGACCTTGGTCAATACCCAGGGATTACAGAGAACTGAGATTTTACATTTAAAGAGTGAACTGGAGTTGTAGTGAAAATCATTCTCTTTCTCATTATATTTTCAAGAATGACAGGAAATATATTTAGATTCAGAGATTTCAGGGTTTAAAAAATGTTTGTACTTTATATGTTACACTTCATATTTTCTCATATCAGTTTAGGCATAGACCCAAGACAAATGATAATAAGTATTATAAAACAGTGTTTTATAGTAGACAACAACACATTAACATGATTATATGGCCCATTATATTTCAAGTAGAACTTTATATATATGATTAAATGAAATAAAAAACTATGGATTTTCATATGACCTTCTATCCATACTGGGGTTGTTGTAAGTGGTGATTTAGTTTGGCGATGGACAGTATTAGGCAAGATGAAAAGTTATGAGCTCTTTAAATATATGATCTCTGGCAAAGAGGCAGTGGTCTGCTTAAAGTGTATGTTACACACCTGTTAGGAGCATCCTGTTCAGCCACATCATCGTATACTTCTTGGTCATCTTCAACAAGTCTCAATGAGACAGTATTGAGAGAGTCCTTTTTCCGTTTCAGAGAATCATAGTCAATCTCTACAGCAGTTGTTTTAATATAACCATCTACCAAAAAGGAAAAGAAGTCCAGGCAATTGGAGCTTAACTATTTTGAAGCTATGAATAAGATACATTTGCTCTTTGAGATTATTTTTTAGGCTGGGGATTGAGCTCAGTGGCAGTTTGCTTAACATACCAAAGGCCTGGGTTTGGCTCCCAGTGCAAACCCAAAGGCACTTTAGTAAACATTTATAAAGGATTCTTTATTTATTTGCTTGCAATCATGGTTTATAGACCTGTGTGACTGCACGTTTTATGTACTCTGGCAGAGACTTACTTTGTTGTACTTCAAGGGTAATCCTAGAGTCTATTTTGAAGATTCTAAAGTGACTCATAAGAAAAATTTCTCCTAATACAAATGAAAAAGGTGATGATCCTTGGGAAACGTTACATTGTTCTTCACTGAAAAGAACTGCACTTGTCATTTTAGACTTTTCTCTCTGTCTACCCAGTTGCAGACTCCTGACTTGAGGGGTATAGGTCTGGAAGAATCTGAACATCTACTTTTGACTCAAAAAGAAAAGCGTTGAAGCCACAGGAAAAGTGCACTCACAGGCCCCCTTGGCGGTTCTCCCCAGCCATTTTCCTTCTGGGTTGTCTGTGATGCGGATTATTTCAATTTCCTCTCCTTGCTTAAAACTCAGTTCATTCTTTCCTCCTTTGACATCACAGCGAGCTTTTGCATGATGGATGACTTGAATGGGGCCTGTTAGCTACCATGAAGGAGAGAAACATAACAGAAAACCATCCAGGAATGTATTTTGAAATGTAATATGCCCACATCTTGCTAGCCAGCCTATATCCAACCTTTCAGAGTTTTAACTAGAAACTGATGGCAAACATCATTCCTATTGATTGCTTTTATAGAGAGTTAGGGAAAAATCAGAGGTCCATCAGGACACTCAAAGAACAGGTGGACAGGAACTTGTGGTTCACAAGAGAGTGGCAGGGAGCTATTGGCCATTAAGAACCCTACAAAAGATATACCCTAATAAATGGATGTTGTTTATGAACATCAAACCGTGCTAAGCACTGTGTATTTTTATGGAATATGCTAGTGGTCTGTTTGGTAGATGGCTTTTTCCTCCTCCTCCTCCTCCTCACTCTCTCTCTCTCTTTCTCTCTCTCCCTCTCTCTCCTTCCTTCTCTCTCCCCTCTCTCTACTTCTTTCTCTGAAAGTTGATTTAACCCAGGGTCTGTGTGAGCTACCCCTCCCATCCAATTGTATTGCTATCCTTGTGTTCTCTGAAGTCATGAATTCTGTGTGAATAAAATGTTTTAGTATTCATAATTCAGTTATTATTTTACTTACAAATAATGAGTTTTTTTTCAAAATTTAATGGGAACCTGTAGTAGAAACAGTGGCTTTTGTAAAATATTTCATTTAATACCATAATAAACTTTGTGGAAAATTATCATATACTCTCATTTTTTAAAGACCAAGAATCTTGATCTTGGAGAAGGCAAATAGTAAGCCCAAGATCACATAATTCTTGTAGGTACAGCTGGAACTGGACTCCACATCTGTCCAATGAACTCCACACTGCCACGCTGGGTGTTTTCCCTGCATTATGCAGCTGCCAACTTTGCTTTAACATAATAAGTGTACTGGGAAGTTAGGCATAAATCATATCTTTACAATGCCATATATTAAATCATCTAGAAGAATAATTACTTAAAGGAATAAATATTTAAAGGAAATAATATGAATTCTTTTAAAAGTGAAGAATACTTTTGTAATTCAGATCATCACGCTAAATCTTTTTTGTATGCTAGACCCATTCCAGAAGGGTTATGTCATCAGAGATGGGATAGTCCAGAGAGTTCAGCCTGTGAGTATAGCATAGTGGTGGTAATAATAAAGGTGAGGAGAGTACCAGAAATCAGGGAAACAGAGGCCAGAAAGAGGAATGAGAAACAGCAGATCTCAGAAATCAGCATGTACCTAGCCTTTAAATAAAGGTGAATATATAGGTTCAGACACCAGTGTCTAGTGTAGCTCGAAGACATTGTGGTTCATCTAGGACACACTTTGTCCCTTGCACCATTCTGTGACATGCCACTGGGACATCTATGTTTATGCTCCTAAGCTCATGGCATCAATAGGCCAATAAGAAACATGTTATGTAGAGGACCAAGCTGAGTCTGAATATTCACCTCCTCAATTGACATACAATCCCTGGGTACCCACTAAATTATAAGCTCTCTAATTATATTTTATTTGACTTTTTATCCTATTTCATTTTTAATGGCCAAAACTAGGTGGTGTTTTAGACACACAAAAAATTGTTTCAAGACAATGAAACTCTCCAACTATGTAAACTTTCCTATGAAAGCTATAAAATATGTTAATTCATCAGCAAACAAGCTCTTACTTTAAATTTCTTCTTTAATTCTTGTTCTTTCTTTTCTTTCTCTTTCTGTTCCTTTCTTTCTAGCTCTAATCTCTTCTTTTCCTCCTTCTCCCGTTTCTTGTCTCGTTCTTTGGATGAGTCTCTGTGAATACAAATTGTTAGGTTGTTTCCACATGTGCAGGTGTTGGTGGGTCAGGACTCACTATGCAAAGAGGTTTCTATCCACCTCAAAAGGTGGACTCTGTAGAGATGAGGGTAAAAAGACAAGGATGTAAAATCCTGGATGTGTGAGATTGTTTTAAAGCAATCTCTAATAGGAGACAAAGTCCCTGATACGGTCTATGACATCCCCAGTTGCTTCCCCTTGCAACTTGCACCAGAAAGAGGAAGACACTTCAGAAAGTCCCTGCCTTTGCTGAATGTTGGCAATGTTGGCATGAAGTTAGTAGTCTCTCTCTCTCTCTCTCTCTCTCTCTCTCTCTCTCTCTCTCTCATGTTCACAGGCACTCATAAGAACTTTGATTCAGAGACTACTTAGAATTGGTTGAATAAAAGCTAGGTAGCCGGAAAGATGACTAACATCTTTAGTTCCAGCATTTGGGAGGCAGAGGCAGGTGGATTTCTGTGAGGTAAAGGCCATCCTGGTCTACATAGCAAGTTCCAGCCAGGTGGGGCTACAGGGAGACCCTATTTCAAGAAACAAGCAAACAGACAGAGCTAGGTAGAGAAAATTAAGGCACCTGAGCTCAACATTTAATTAAAAATACTCCTACCTTCACCTAGCTTCCAAGAAATTTCTTAGTCTATTAAGGAGTCTGTTGTGGAGTCATTTTCCCCCATCTATTCAGCAGACTGGAACTACAGCAACTGAGTGCTATGCTAAGCTACATCTCACTGCACCTCTGTGCCTGGGAGAAGAAGGTACAACATCAAATGAATTCATTGGTTCAGGACACACTGCGAGGGAGACATAGACTCCTGAGTCCTTTCCCTGCCTGTCCCTCTGGTAGCCTGCAAGTCTCAGCTTGTGACCAGAGTCTTCTGTAGAATCTTTGGTGAAGTAAACCAATATTAGTCCTTTGTATTGAAATAAGGCTTTCGTTGCATGCCAATCATCCATACAAATAAAGCTTTTCATCCCTGGTGCTGCTGCACTCCCATGCTCCTTCTTACAAAACATCATATTCAGCTTAGAAGAAAACTCTTATGGTAACAAATGCAATGCATACATGTCTTCATATGTTTCTCCTTCACTGTCTTGTTCCTGTCAAGAAAAACATAGATAATCATTAATCGTGATTATTCCAAAAATCACATCCACATATTTCATTAATCAATTTTTTTAGTTGTTGTTGTTTTTGGAGACAGGGTCTCACTCTGTAGTCCTGATTGGACTGGAATTCTATAAATAGACCATGGCTGACCTGAAACTCACAAAGATCTGCCACCCTCTGCCTTCCTCTGCTGGGATTAAAGGTGTACACAACCACGCCTGACACTGATAAAATATTTTTTAAACTATTTGTGAGTTTATGTAATTTGAACCTAAGTTGGCTTATCTGAAATTTTCTTTCTCCTCCTTCTTATTTTGAATTGTGAGAGGTACTATGAAAACAAGTACAGAGATTTCATTTTCTGTCATTTTGTCACTAGATATATAGTCAGACATAAGTTCAGTGCTACGTTACTACAAGTCTCTAATCTCTAATGTTTCAAGCATTTTTGATGAAGTAAGGTTAAAAATGGGAAAAAAATCATTACTACTCATAAAACTTTTTGTTTGTCTGGATTATAACAATAGGAAGTGAATCACAATTATTATTAAGTATTCTAGGTTTAACAGTATAAAGGGAGAAATAGAAAATATCTGACCTCTTCTAGATTTCCAGTACCTAAAGGATTAAAAAGGAATAATACACTGTAAGTAAGAAGCACATTAATAAGTGACTATTGGACATAATAATTTTCAAAACAGTTCATAGTATAACAGCCTATACTCTGGAGCACAAAACAAATTATGTATCTTAGATCTTTAATATTTTTAAATTATTGTCATTTAATTATAAAATTATTTTATTAACTTTTATAAAATAATGCAAAGTCCAAAAATACTTATGATACTTTTTATTCCCTTTATAAGAGGCACTGTGTGCATTTGATGGTATGAGCTTATGTGAAATGAAAAAAAATCACAAGAAGTTCACATACTTGGCTCATTTGTTCTCAAGGATTTGTTTTCATGCATCAAATCAAGTTAATTGGATTGAAAATATTTTACTACTCAAGAATTTAGTGTAATATCCACTCTACCAGATATCAAGACACAGTCTAATATTATAATCAGTAAGATAATATTAAGAGCAATTACACTAAAATGGTAGTGTGGTATTAGTATACAAACAGACAAATAGGACCATGGAATAGACTAATTAGATCAGTGACAAAGAAAAATTTGCATATGCACAGTAATATAATATGCACACATATACATACACACATTCTTATGTGTGTGATGACACTTGCTGGTAAAAGGTGGGCAGGCTGCCACCCTCATGCCCTGTTGATGAGATATAGATATATCATCTTGTCTGAAGCACATTCTAGTCCTACTTAGCAAAGCAAACATTCTGTAGTTAATGGTCAACCATTCTACTGCTGCTGACACATCTCATAGAAGAAGCCTCTCTGAAGTCCATATGTGATGAAGATGAAGAGGAGCACTGCGGCATTACTTATAGTGCCAGTGATAGGAATTAAATCAAATGTGGATGTACACATACCACAGGGTACTGTGCAGAACTTAGTGACAACAGACAAAATTTGTGTAGTGATAAGTGGGGGGAAATCCCCAAATCTTATGCTGAGTTGTCACAAAAAGAAAAACCTACAGCATATCATAAATTACATGTATGCACGCATACAATGATTTGAGAATATATACAAACATGCATTTACTATTTTAGAGCATTGTCTGTGGTAAGAGAAATAAAGGGAGTGAATCAGGAGAAGTCTAGGAAATAAGTAAAATGAGAGGGATCTTAAATGGACCAATAAAAGTAGCCATCCATTAGTGACACTATGAGATATAAGATTTGACAACTTCAAACACATAGTTGAGATTAAAAAAAAAAGTTGCCCCTACCATCAGAGTGCATGACACCATCCTGATTTTCTTCAGTTGAAATATTTCTGAAAACATGAAGGAAGATAAAGTGAAACTAAAGTAAGTAGATGGTCACCTTAAGATGAAAAATAAAGACTGAATTATTGTCATCTCATTAATATTTGTTCTGACATAAAATTTACATATAACTAGAGCTCAGCATGGTGACACACATCTTTAATGGGAGGCAGAGGCTCCCAACTCTGAGTTCCAGGTCAATCAGGAGTACATGAAAAAACAAAATTTACATGTCAGTAGAATAGATTATAGTCTTGTATTTATGATACTACTGTGGCAAAAAAGAACAAAGGAGAATTGAAAAGCCTAAGTACAGCATCATCCCACAGTGGACGCACACAGTGGATCCATTGCTCCAGGGGAGTGAGGTGTTTTCCATCAGATCTGTAGTCTTCTGTTGTTCAATGCTGAGAGTTTTTCAGCATTAGATTGTTTCTCTGGTACATACATAAAAGAGAGTTTGCTCTCATCCCTGACTCCTTCCTCTTCTCTGGATGGATCCCACCCTGGCAAAATGTCAGTCAAATTCTTGGACTCCAAGGGTTTTCTGTCAAATGTTTAACTCCAACTCTCCTTAACAGAAGTAACAATATATGGGGCCCACAAATTCCTAACAGTTCATATAACCATTTATGTTTTGCGTTCCCATCCTCAGATTGATTAGCATAGATGGGAAAGTCATCAGTTTTAATGATTTTGGACATTACAGATAATTGGTATCCAATTTCACTCTACCCTCAATGATAGTCAATATGTTATTTCTCTTTTTTTCTAGCCAACCTTCTCCTGTGCCATCCTTCACAATACCCATTCAAAATCTTTACGACGCCCCCTAAATCTGCTAATCCTCTTCTCTCTCAGTAATCAGATGACTTTGTTTTTAATTTCACCATAAAACAGAAATAATTGGAAATGAATTCTATTAAGAAAATATATCCCCTCATTGAGTGGGTTCCTCAATGGGAGGAAACTCATGTGTGGTACTGTAAACCTAGCCAAATACACATAGCTGGAGAGGTGATAGATCATAGAGAAAACCCTTAGACAAATGTAATTTCTTACTGTGTGCAAAATATGAATACTTAAATTTACAGACAAGTATCCCAGTCACCACCTACCAAAGAAGATTATTTTAAAACAGAAAGAGGTAATTACAGAACTCCACAACTGGTCACACAGAGATTGTCTGTGAATTTCCCAAGCCTAAGTGGCACAGAGATCCACCTGCCTCTGCCTCCCAAGTACCAGGATTAAAGGTGTGTGCCACCACGCCCAGCAGAGATCTTCTTTAAAGGCTAAAACCTCATTTAATTTTGTCTTAAAGGGTTTATATTGAGTACAATATTATATGACTGTATTAATTCAACTGTAAACCTAAAAATTTACAGCCAATTTTCAAACAGGTGCATCTTAGCTCTGGAAATTGTTATTGAATATGTCAATGCTGTTGTCATGAAATGCTTCTTCTAATTATGTGGTTACTAAATAAATAATTAAAAAAAAGAAAACATCTCACATTCAGGGACAGATACTACCTTAGGGTGAAAGGATGGAAAAAAATATTCCAAGAAAATGACTCTAAGAAGCAAGCAGGTGTTGAAATCCTAATGTCTGACAAAATAAATTTTAAATTAAAACTAATCACAAGAGATAAAGAGGGTCACTTCATTCTAATCAAAGGAACAATTGATCAAGAAGACATTACAATCATGAATATATACTCACCAAACTCTGGTGCATCCAGTTTCATAAAAACACACAGTACTCCAGGACTATAAAATACAGATTAACCCCAACTCAACAATAGTAGGTGATTTCAATACCCCACAATAACTGTTTTTAATAGAACAGTCAACTGGACAAAGAGTAAACAGAGAGACACCTGAATTAAATGACATCTTACATGAAATGGACCTAACAGACATCTACAGAATACTGGACCCAAGCACCAAAGAATGCACTTTTTACTCAACACCCCATGCAAGTTATTCTAAAGTTGACCACATTCTGGGACACAAAACAAATCTCAACAAATACAAACAAATTTAAATAATTCCATGCATTCTACAGACCACAGTGCAATAACAGTTATAGTCAACAGCAAAAGAAGCTCTAGTAACTACATGAACTCATGGAGATTTATAAAACACACCCCTGAATGATGAATGGGGTCAAAGAAGAAATTAAGAAAGAAACGGAGGAAGGGGGTCTATTTACTTAAGAACTGTTGTATGAAATGTACAAAAGTTCAATAAAAATTTTTTTAAAAAGCTAAGCATGCTTGAAGTGTGTGCTGGAAATATTTTCTTGTGACTTTGTCCATAAAAAGAGATGATTGGTTTTGTTTGTGGCTTAGGAAGAACTTTTCTTTAAATATTTCATGGTTTTCATTCATTTCTTTTTTGGTGAGTTAAAGGCAAGGTATAAAATTGATATAAGAAAAACAGGCAAAACATGTTTACATGCATTGATATCTGTCTGTCCTGTTCCCAAGGAGGCATGTTACCACACTTCCATGGTGAGTCAACTGTATATTATGAGCTCCTGATAAAAGAACATATCATAATCTAGGAATAAGTCTTATCAAAGACAAAATAAAACACAAATATAAAGAACAATAACAAATTGAGGGCTGGAGAGATAGCTCAGTGGTTAAGATCACTTTTGGAGGACCTGGGCTTGGTTCCCAGCACCAACATGGAGGCTAATAACTGTCCCTAACTCCAGTTCCAAGGGATCAGCTGCCCTCTTCTGGCCTCCACTTGCATTGCACACATGGGTGCACTTACATGCAGGAACAATCATACTCATAAAATAAAAAAAAATTAGAAATACAAATGGATGTAGGCATTCAAAATTGTAAAACACTAAGTTGAAAGGCCAGGCGTGGTGGTGTATGCCTTTAATCCTAGCACTTGGGTGGCAGAGGCAGGCAGATCTCTTCAAGGCCAGCCTGGTCTACATAGTGAGTTCCAGGACAGCTGGTGCTACCGGAAGACCCTGTCTCTCTCACACACACACACACACACACACACACACACACACACACTACAAAAAAAAAAAAAAAACCCTAAGTTGAATCACCTCTACATTCAATTAGCAATCTACAGGTGGTACAGAGAAGAATATATAATCTGTATTACAGAGAGGCAATCATCAAAATCTAGAACATGAGTAACCATAATATCCATAAACAAATTGATTTCCTGAACAAATAAATTTCAAGGAGTATGGAAAATAGAGATGGTGGGTAAATCTGTATGTTAAAGAGAATTATAAACATAAGCCAGCAAAGATGTGTAAGCTTTGAGTTTTTATTTAAAACACACAAACACAATGTAATAGATATCAGAAATTACGTTGTTTTGTCTTTTTGAGATCAGGTCTTACTATTTAGCCTTGTCTTTTTGAGATAAGGTCTTACTATTTAGCCTAGGATAGCCCTACCCTAGTAATTCTCCTGCTTCCACTTCTTCCTGAGCACTGGGATTAGAGGCCTGTGGCCCATGGAGGACTAGAATCTCAACACTGTTTTGATATTCTATACTAACACACAGGGTCTAATTTTTTAGACTATCTACTGAAATACTTATGAATTAACTAAGCCAATGTTATATATTAATTTCAGAATAACACAAGAAAGGGAGTGATGAATGTACAGATGAAAGAAGTTGGACCATGTTTATAACTGTCAGAGTTCATGAAGGGACATGGGGCCTCATGTATTATTACCTCTGCCTTATATGTGTTTAAATATTTTTGTGATAATCATACTTTTGACAAAACTGTAAGAATAATTTAATCACAAATGCTATTGGAATATTTAAGAGAACTGAATTTCAGCTTTTAGAGTCATAGGAAGGTTTTGTTTAGTAAGGTCATTCAATTAGCCTATTCAGGTGTTTGAAAAACTTAAAAATGGAATTTACTACCTTACATTTATATATAAAGTGTAAAACATCCATGGAAGGTTAACTCACTTTATAGGCATTGACTTGGGAGAGATTAAGCTAAGGTACTTGAGGCATCCAATCACTAATCAAAGACTAATGTGACTTGATGCTGTATACCTACAATCCCAGTACTCTGGAGTTCAAGCCAGCCTGGGCTACATAGTAAGATAACATTTTAAAGGTAAAACAAAACAAGAAATGAAGAAAGATCTTCTTGGAAATAATTGAATAAAATTTCTAGATGTATAAATGGATAACAGTTTTATAATATACATTTGAATATTTAACATGAATAAATCCTTCACCTTGGCTTTAATGAATAGAATTTTATTTAAAAGATGTAAATACTTTAGACACACTGACAGCCCACTGAATAAAATCCACAGTCCTTCTCCTATGCATAGGGATTATACAATCAGTTCTAGTCACAGCCTTACGTCTCATATTCCCTTTGTCTCTCCCTCTATTTCTAATTTTCTTTGAGGCAGTATCTCACTGTGTAGCCCAAACAGGCCCAGAGCTCTCAATCCTCCTGAGAACTGGGATTATAAGCATGCAAACCACCTCTGGCATATATTCCTGTTTCTTACAGCCTCTTCTCACCTGTTAATACTGATTTAATATACTCTGAACACTCTCTGATTCTTGTTTATCCACTCTTATCCCCCACTTTCCTTCACTGGGTTAATTCTGGCTCATTTTTTAAAAAAAGAGTTTATTATTATTGTATGTGTGCACACACACACACACATAGCATGTGTAGGGGTCAGAGGACAATGCTGTGGAGTTGGTTCTCTCCTTCCACTTTTATGTGGCTTCCAAGGATTGAAATCAGGTGGTTAGGCTCACAGGTAAGCGCATTACCTGCAGAGCCATCTCACAGGCCCTAATTCTGGCTTCTTGATATCCCCTGCTGTGGCCCGCTGTCCAACAAGCCGTTCTTAAACAGTCTCTCTTCTGGGAAGGTATCTCCAGTTTTGAAACTTGCTCTTCACTGTGTCTGTGTGCTATGTGTCCATCTCTACAGTAATTATCCTGTGTAATCATATAACTAT